AAGTAGACATAGACACAGAGAGAGACACACAGAGAGAGAGAGAGAGAGAGAGAGAGAGAGAGAGAGAGAGAGAGAGAGAGAGAGCATGTGTGAAATGGACAGCTATCCTCGCAATGACATAAGCCGTCGTTACCGACTCGTCAGTTTGCTCAATGATTTAAGGTTTGAACATATTCTAGCTGAACATTTCAATGAGATTAGCAGGGAGTCGACCTACTAATGTTGTGGTGAAGATTACAATGACATGTGAAAAAAAAAAACTTTAAGAGAGAGGGAGAGAAAAAAAAGAGGTGTAGTGCGAGCATGCCACGACCGGCAGATATACGGCTACGGCTTAGCATCACTCCCGGGTAGCTAGCCACTCGGCCACTCTCCCGAAGAAGTCAGCATCCTCCAGGATTTGAACCTTTGACGCTTTGACCGTCATCTCGAGAGAATCCTATATGTATATGTGTATACACTGCACACCACGGTTCTCTCGACGTCAATGGAATGGATGACACCCATGTATGGACCGACATGCCTGACGTCTGAGCGTGACTGTTTGAATCGGCGAGGAGCCGGGGAGCTTGGAGGAGCACACGTGGCAGGAGCGGCCGCGCCGGCAGCTAGGAGCTGCACACGTGGCAGCCAGCGCTTGTGTCTCTTTGGCGCATGTACATTTTGTGTTGCCGTCAACACCGGTCCAAGACCTGTCGTCGCGTTTGACGCTGTTGTGGTCGGTCGGAGTCCCGACAGCGCCTGTGACTGTTGTCGTCAACACCGCTCTTCCTTCGTAGACACAGCTGTTATTGTCAATTTGAAATAGGGAGCACCATAGCCGGATCTTTGACCATTCCAAGGCTCCAAGAGCCATAGCCAAACCACAGCGGAGCCAGGGGTGCCATTGCCATAGCCTAAGCTGGAGCAAACTATGCGTACCAGGGGTTGTCTACAGTGGTAACCAGTGGTTCGGGAAAGATGAGCAATGAGCATCATCAACCAGAGGGAGGATCTTTTATTTATTTATTTATTATTATTATTATTTTCAATGCTGAGGATTTCGCAATTCGAGATCAGGTTGGGTTGTGAATGGATTGATGGATTTGAATCTATTTGGCATTTGCTACCCGTCCAGAGGGTCGGGGCCTTCCTCCCCGAGGTTGGACTTAAATCCTCATCCTTTACGTTCTCCTTCTCCCTCTTCCTCGTCTTCTGGAGAGTGTAGCCTTGCTCGGCTACCCGTCCTCCCCCGTATACAAAACACCCTCATCATGCGTATGCTTGTCCTTGTGGCATGGATGTGAACGAGCTCTCTGTCTGATCAATGATGTCGGCAAGCTATCGTATGGGTGCGTTGTGTTCGGGGGAGGGAGGTAGCCTCACTTCTGTTCTCTCTTGCTTGTTTGTTTTGTCATGTTCGCTACTAAACACCACTCCACAAACAAAAAAAAGCATGACATTGTGTGTGCCAGACTGTTTAGTCGACCTTTCACCGACCCATCAAAAGAGTGTGTATGTGTATGTGTGTGTGTGTGTGTGTGTGTGTGTGTGTGTGTGTGTGTGTGTGTGTTGTCATATTCGCTGTACACTTAGAAGAAGCATGACTGTGCCAGACGGTTTCGTCGGACTTTGTGTTTCTGGGTGTGTGTGTGAATGCGCGCGTGCACGTGTTGGT